CAAAGCCCCCATGAGCATAAGCCGCCAAGTACACCAGTGAAAAGTAGGCTCTGGCATGCGCGACGTATCCAGGCTGTATCCACCGGCGACACCTTCCTGCCCAAAAGCCTGGTCCATCCAGTGCCACTTGCAGCGGACTAACGTCGGGTTTGCAGACACCGCAGCGAATCCATCTTGCCCGCCGTCAGGCTAGGAACGCAACATTCACCAAGACGTCGCGAGGCTCGCCGAAACAACACCACAGTGGGCCAGCTTGGCACCACTGAAAGAGCATTTCTATCAGCGTATGTCTACATAGGTATTTGTTTATCGTGTTCGTGTGCTTGGTTGCCCCTGTCTCACTGAAGGTACCGGGTGGTGTGCGAGTGGTTGCGCGCGGCTTCTCAGTGGACGATGGCAGCCCAGTGCCGGATGGGTTCACAGTTGGCGCTGCTCGACCCCTGCCCGACCTGCCCGCCCTTCTGTCTCTGACAATTGCCCCCCCAGACCCCAAACCCATGCACCGACCCGAAAATGTTGCGGAGCCGTGGCCGTGATGACGAAGTGGAGGGGTTCGGGCAGCGAATTTGGAGAAGGCGGTGCAAGGCAAAGTCGCCTGTACCTTTTCCTCGGGCCAGGAGGAGGCCGTCTGTTCTGATCCCGCCTCCGCCCTCGCAAGCCCCCCGACGTGGCGCAGCTGCTGGAACCCGTTCTGGGGGCCGAGGGAATTTCAGAATCGGTTTCACGGCCGTCCGAAGTTATTTGTCAGCCCCATCAGCCACCTTCGGGAGGGGGGCGTATCGCATGCTGGCGACATGGGCGTGACGCACCTAAGGGTAGGTGCGTGTCGTGTCGCCTCGGCGGCGACCCCGCCGCGCACGTTCGAAGCCCAGCGTCGCCAGTGACCCAGAATCTGCCAATACGAAACGAGCTGAGGGTCCAGAAACCGCCGATCGTTCTAGGTTGAGCGATCCACGCCGTGCGCGAAGCCGACGCGCCAGCCGCCACGACGAGGACTCACCTCACCCCCCCTCTTCCAGCCCCGTGACGGTGACCCCCCCGTGAGTCCCGGCCCCGAGTGAGAAAAGAGGGAGTATCAAGTCTGAGCGTTGCTCTTGTTATTGTTGTTGTTGGTGGTGGTGATGGTGTTGGTGTTGGTGGTGTTGCTGCTGCTGTTGTTGCTGTTGTTGCTGTTGTTGGTATTGTTGTTGCTGCTGCTGTTGTTGCTGTTGTTGTAGTAGAACTCTCAGTCTTGAAGAATAATTTTGTTGATCCCCCCAGCGGTGCACATTGTTTTTTTCAATTGAAGTGCCCCCCCCCGGGGCTCGCACTTTGTTTTTTGTCAACGAGAGTCTTCCTGCTCAAACTGGCCCCCTGGCTCCCCGGTTGCAACAACAACGGCTCCCGCCTGAGATTTCCTCACAATTTAGCCAGGACCCTTGCTCCCGCCCGAGCCTTCCTCGCATTTTATTCAGGAATCGCGCTCTCGCTTGGGACGTCCTTACGATTTATTTAGGAATCGCTCCTCCTGCGCTCTGGAGTCGCGCTCTCGCTGGAGACTTGCTTGCAATTTACTGAAGAATAGCGCCCTTGCGTTCCAATTTCTTGCAATTTACTGCAGCGCCGCGCTCCCGACACCCAGGCACCCAGGAGTCGCGCTCACGCTTAGGACTCCTTCACAGATTACCTAGGAATCGGAATCTCGCTGCCCTTCGTGGCCCCGTTGCAGCCCTTCGTGGCCCCCTCGCTTGGTTTCGTGGCCCCGTTGCAGCCCTTCGTGGCCCCCTCGCTTTGTCTCGTGGCCCCGTTGCAGCCCCTCGTGGCCTCCTCGTTGCCCTTCGTGGCCCCGTTGCAGCCCTTCGTGGCCCCCTCGCTTTGTTTCGTGGCCCCGTTGCAGCCCTTCGTGGCCCCCTCGCTGCCCTTTGTGGCCCCGTCGCAGCACTTCGTGGCCCCGTTGCGGCCCTTCGTGGCACCCTCGCTGCCCTTCGTGTCCCCGTTGTTGCCCTCAGTTGCCCCCTCGCTTTGTTTCGTGGCCCCATATATGTATGCCCTTCGTGGCCCCCGCTCGTTCGCGCCCGTGGTGGCCCCATATGCATGCCCTTCGTGGCCCCGCTGTCGCCCTTCGTGGCCCCCTCACTGCCCTTCGTGTCCCCGTTGCTGCCTTCAGTGGCCCCGTCCGTACCCTCCGCGGCCCAACATACGTGTGCCATTCGTGGCCCCCGCTCGTTCGCGCCCGTTGTGGCCCCATGTGCATGCCCTTCGTGGCCCCGCTGTCGCCGTTTGTGGCCCCCTCATTATTCTATGTGGCCCATGTGCTACCCTTAGTGGCCCCATCGTTGCCTTCTGTGGCCCCTCATTATCTGCCCATCGTGGCCCACGCTCGTTCGCGCTCTTCGTGGCCCCATACGCATTCCCTTCGTGTCCCCGCTGTCGCCCTTCGTGGCCTACTTCGTGTCCTTCGTGGCTCTGCTGTCGTTCTCTCTCGCTCTCGCTTTCGCTCGTCGTCGTCGTCGTCGCCGTCGCCGTCGTTGCCGTCGTCGTCGACGTTGTCGTCGTCGTCGTGGTCGGTCCCCTGTCCGTCCCTCTTGAGGTCGGGTCGACGGTCCGCGGCCGCCCCGCCGATCAGCGCTGCCGCTGGCCAGGCCGACGGTCCGCGGCAGCCCCGCCGCGTGCCAGGGCGCGGCCTGCAGGGCAGAAAGGTATACCCCCCAAAATGGGGTTCGATCGAAAACGAAAAGGGCGGGTATCGAGGGTTTGGGAAAGTCGCGTTATTCGACACTCGAGCAGATAAGGGCGAACAGTCTTAAAATGATTGTTGTTGTTGGTGGTGGTGGTGGTGGTGGCGTTGTTGTTGTTGTTGTTGGTGGTGGTGGTGGTGGTGGTGTTGGTGTTGTTGTTGTTGCTGTTGTTGTTGTTGTTGAACATTATTTATTCTAAAGAATAATTATTGTTGGGGGCCCTGGTGCGCGCCCCCCTCGCCGCGCCTAGGCCGCAGCCGCATTTTCATCATTTTCGTGAGGAAGTCTCAGGCAAAACGTGGGTGTCCGGATCCGGTTGTTTTGTTGACGCCCGCTTTCCCTTGCAAAAAACACTATAAAATGAAATTTCTTGTTCTAACATAACCAAACTTCAAGAATCCTTTGAAAAAATGACACGAAGTGCACACTCGCGCGCGCAAGATGAAATCCTTCCAAAACCTTAGTTTTCGTAGCGATTTTAACATAAAACCATGAAGAACCCAATGGTTTTTCAAAAAAAAAGTTTCCAACATTCATCTTGCGCGCTCTTGCGGATTTCTGAGGAAACCCAATATTTTTTCAACATTTCTGTCAAACGAGCTCTTGCGAGCAACTTTTTCACGTGCTTCGAACTTCTGCAACAACGGTTGCGCGCATGCCAGGGCCATCATCCCTGTCAAATAATACCATATTGGACACATTCGTTTTTTCTTCGCGCGCGCACGCCGTCGTCGTCGGCCGCGGGGCCCTGAATAGTAGCCACGGTCGTCCGCATGCCACGAAGTGAAGTGTCCGAACGTCATAGGGCGGGAAGCTGGGTGTGGGTGGTGGCGAAGAGTCGTATGGAAATTTGGTAGAGCTTGAACCGGCCCCCCCACAAAGTGGGGGTATTGCCCGCCTCCTATGAAAACCCTGGCACTGGTGAGAACGGAGTGTCCCCAGTCTTAAATGATTGTTGTTGTTGTTGTTGTTGTTGTTGTTGTCGTTGTCGTTGTCGTTGTCGTTGTGTTGTTGTTGTTGTTGTTGTTGTGGTTGTTGTTTGTCGTTGTCGTTGTTGTTGTCGTTGTTTGGTGTGTTGTCGTTGTTGTTGTTGTCGTTGTTGTTGTTGTTGTTGTTGTTGTTGTTGTTGAACATTATTAATTCTAAAGAATAATTATTGTTGGGCCCCCTGGTGCGCGCCCCCCCTGCGCCGCCTAGGCCGCAGCTACATTTTCATCATTTTCGTGAGGAAGCCTCAGGTAAAAGATGTGTCAGGATCCGGTTGTTTTGTTCCCCCCCGCTTTCCCTTGCAAAAAACACTATAAAATGACATTTCTTGTTCTAATATAATCAAATTTCAAGAATCCCTTGCAAAAAATAAGGTAAAGTGGACATTCGCGCGCGCAAGACGAAATCCTTCCAAAAGCTTAGTGTTCGGAGCGATTTTAACATAAAAACATCAAAAAACCAATGGTTTTTCAACAAAAAAATGTCAAAATCTCATCCCGCGCGCTCTTGCGGATTCGTAGGAAACCCAACACTTTTTAAACATTTCTGTCAAACGGGCTTTTGCGAGCAACTTTTTCGAACTTCTGCGACAACGGTTGCGCACCTGCCAGGGCCATCATCCCTGTCAAATAATACCATGCGGGACAGATTCGTTTTTTTGCGCGGCACGCCGAAATCCCAATAAGTGACCAAGTTCTGTGGGTGTGTACCCACGCCAGTGTAGTAGCCACGGTCGTCCGCACGCCACGAAGTGAAGTGTCCCAACGTCATAGGGCGGGAAGCTGGGTTTGGGTGGTCGCGAAGAGTCGTTTGGATATTTGGTAGAGCTTGTAATGCCCCCCCACGAAGTGGGGGTATTGCCTGGTGTCGTATGAAAACCCTTTGTGGACGCCAGATGTTTGGGCACAGCTCTCTGCCATCGTCACGAAACTGGTTTCCAGAAGCCAGAAGTTGCAGCCCGCCGCCTAGCTTCTATCGGGACGCCAGATTTTTGGGCACAGCTCTCTGCCATCGGCGTCACCCAAACGTATTAGTAGTTCTTGCGTGTGCGTCGCCCCCCCGCTCCCCCCGGGGCGACGCGCGCACCGAGAATTCCTACAATAGTAGCTGCGAGGCGGGCGCTTTCCGGCCATACCGCTCGGGAAGCGATACACTACAAGATGGCTGTAATGTATGTTCGGGTCGGACGCACGCCCCCGAGGCGGACAGACCGTTTCGTATGTCCTTGTGCGTCCCACCTCGAGTGTCGTTCGTCCGTCCCCTCGTCCGCCTTCTCAGTCACCCTCGGTGGGGGAGGCGTCCAAGTACCTGATGTGCCGGCGAGGGCTGCTCATCCAGCCGCTGCCGGAGGGGCCGCGGCGCGACGAGGCGGCGCGCCGGTTCCGCTTCGTGGGCAGGCTGCTGGGCCAGGCGCTGCGAGAGGACCTTCGGGAGGTATCGGGGGTTAGGGGGCCACCTGCGAACCCTACCCCTACCCCCCACGGTTTCTGAGGGGAAGGGTGGGGTAGGGTTCGCATGTGGCCCCCTAGGGGTGACGACAGAGGCGGATAGCCCAGCCGCAGGCGATGCTTTGCATGACCCCCTGATTGCAATCGCCGCAGCCGCAGGCGATTTCTCTCTCTCTCTCTCTCTCTCTCTCTCTCTCTAACCCCATGATTCTGTACGAAGATGCAGCCGCTCAGAGAAATGGGGAGACCCTGGGATACACCAAAACAAGATTCACTCGTTTTCCGGGTGTTTTGGACTTTGGCGTTCTCGCTTTTCCCGCTTTCCAGCGCTCCCTCACGGCCTCGGAGGCCCTTGAGATCGCTCCAAGAAGGCCCACGAGGCCCCGACGAGAGCCCCAAGACGGCCCAGGATGCTCCCCAGACAACCCAAGTGTGCCCCAAGAGCGCGCAAAGAGAATGAGGCGGACCGGGCCCGCCCCGAAGCAGGCCACGCCAGGCTAATGGAGGTCCCCAGAGGGCCTTAGACGGTCCCAAGAGGCCCCGAAGTCGCCCAAGCTGCCCTCAAGACGGCCGACGAGGACTCCAACACGCTCCAGGACGGACTCAAGAGGCTCCCCAAGAGGGCCCTGGGAGGCAAGATTCACTAATTTTCCGGTGGTTTTTGAAGGATTTTGGCGTTCTCGCTTTCCCCGCTTCCCAGCGCTCCCTCACGGCCTCGCTCAGAGGCCCTTGAGATCGCTCCAAGACGGGCAGACGACCCAACTGTGCCCCAAGAGCTCCCCTAGAGGGGGCCCAGAATGGGACCGCCAACCGATATTTCGAGGTCTCTGGCCCTAGAGGCCACCTGTAGGCCCCCGGAGGCCACCAAGAGGCTCCCACGAAGCCCCGTGAGGGACCCAAGAGGCCCCCAGGAAGCCCCAAGAGACCCCCAAGGGGCTCCCAGGGAACGCCCAAGAGGCCCCCCAACACACCCCAAGAAATCATGTCCCCAGAAAACCTTCCGGGGACATGGTTCATCATGGGCCCGAGAGTTCCCGGAGGCCCCCAAGGGGTGCCCGGGGGACGCCCAAGAGACCCCCCAACACACCCCAACAAACCATGTCCCCAGAAAGCCTTCCGGGGACATGGTACATCATGGGCCCGCGAGTCTCCGGAGGCTTCGAAGTACCATCATGCTACAGGAGAGCTGTCTGGGGAGTTTATTGGGAACATGACTGATCGCCTTCTCGCGGCCCTCCGCAGACCGTTTCGCACAAAGTTGCCCCAAGTGCCCTCTTGAATCGACGACGACGACGACGACGAAACGACGAAGACGACGACGACGACGACGACGACGGCCCGCCCCAATAGGCGACGACGACATTACGACGACGACGACGACGACGACGACGACGACGACGACGACGACGACGACGACGACGACGACGACGACGACGACGACGACGACGACTGCGCGCCCCAACAGGCTCCCCAAGACGCCCTCAAACCCATGCTCCAAGAAGGCCTTCTGGGAACCGGATTCATACGGCCTCCGCCCCCCTACACAACCATTTTCCTCGAAGGCCTTTCGGAATGCAGATTGGCATGCGTGGACTGTGGTCCACTACTTCAGTGGAGCAGTGAATTCGTCAAGGCCTGGTGCCTGCTAGAACCTGAGCGCGCGCGATTTTTTCTTATTTATTATTATTAGTGTTATTATTCTTCTTTTATATATATATATATATGTTGTTTTGTGTGTTGTGTGTGTGTGTCGTTGTGTGATTTGTTTGTTTGTTGTTATTGTTGTTGTTGCTGGGCTTGCTGCTGTCTTTGCTGCTGTGGATGTTGTGGCTGCTGCTGTTGTTGTTGGTGTTGTTGTTGCTGTTATTGTTGTTGCTGTTGTTGCTGTTGTTGCTTTTGTTGCTGCTGCTGTCGTTGTTGTAGGTGTTGCTGCTGCTGTTGTTGCTGTTGATGTTATTGTTGGTGTTGTTGTTGGTTGTTGTGTTTGTTGGTGGTGGTGCTGTTGGTTGTTGTTGTTGCTGTTGCTGTTGCTGTTGCTGTTGCTGTTGTTGCTGTTGCTGCTGCTGCTGCTGCTGCTGTTGTTGTTGTTGTTGTTGTTGTTGTTGTTGTTGTTCTTGTTCTTGTTCTTGTTGCTGTTTGTGTGTGTGTGTGTGTTTTGTAGGTGGTCGGCCTTCCCGCGGGCCCGCGGAGGGCTTCATCGCCCCCGGGACCAGCTTCTCATCCCGAGCCGTTCTTTGACGGTCCCGAGGGCCGGCGAGGGCCCCCGGAGGCAGCACCATGGCGAAGCCCTTGGCCGCCGTGATTATTTCACGACTCGAAGGGGTCTTCGGGTTAGGCTGGGGTTATGGAAGTCGACTGATGGAGAGGGAGTATGCTGCCAAATAATACCCAGATGCTTACACATGTTTCCACCTCTCTAAAGACATGTTTGGAAGTCATGTTTAGAACATGGTTCACACATGTTTAGCACATTCTTACTTCAATGATCGGCTTCTTAGAGTATCCATTGTCATGGCATCCACATGGCTGGGGCGGTCCGGGCCTTCTGAGAAACTTTCGAAGCCTTCCCCGAAGACAGGGACCATCTTCTTGGAAGGCCCGAGGGCTTCTGAGAGAAGGCCCGCCGCCTTCTGAGAGGGCCTTGTCCTTCGCATTTCCCCCCTCCCTCGCCGCCAAGGGTTAGGCTTATGTCGGGCGTGTCCCCCTACAGGGGGATTCCAAAATAAACAAATGCACCAAAAATGCCCCAAAAAGTTCAACAACTATTCAGAAAATAGTCCCATACTATTTTTTGATTTTTTTTTATCATGTTAGGGGTAATTTTTATTTTTCGTCGGCAATCCCCCTGTTGGGGGACAGACCCGACTTAAGGTTAGGCTGGGGCGGTCCGGCAGGGCGGTCGGCCTCCCCGCGGGCCCTGCGGAGGGCTTCATCGTCCCGCTGCCCGTGGGCGAGGAGGTCTTCGCGCTGCTGCGGGGGGACGCGCCGGGGGCCGAGAGCCTGCCGCGCCCGGGAGGGGCTGGGCGGCGGCTCTCCGGCGGGTGCTGGGCGCTGCTGTGCCATGGGGCTGCTCTAGGGCGAGGGAGGAGGAGGAGGAGGGAGGAGGAGGAGAGGGAGGAGGAGGAGGAGGAGGAGGACGAGGAGGAGGAGAAGGAGGGGGAGGAGGAGGAGGAGGAGGAGGAGGAGGAGGAGGAGAGAGGAAGGGGGGAGGAGGACGAGGGAGGAGAGGAGGAGGAGGAGGAGGGGGGAGGAGGAGGAGGAGGATAAGGGGAACGAAGAGCGACACAGACACAGAAGCTCGGAGGTCCGCGCGGCTTTCTCGGATCCGCGCTGGACCCCCCTGGCGGCGCCTCCCTGGCGCCGCCCCTGGCGCAATTCCGAGAAAGCCGCGCGGACCGAGTTTTTGTTTATGCTCATGCCATTACTTGTTCCTCGAGAGATGGCTTCACGTGCTGAAATGATTCATCCAGTTTTGTATACTCTAGTGAGCAGCAATTGGTGTGCTCACCCCCATCAGGCCCTCTTCCTGTATAGACTTTTTGTAGACATCCGTTTGCTGCGAGGCTTCTCACGGGCGATCAGTGATCTCACCAGTCTTAGCGCCAAACGCATTTGAAGGTTGCGGCGCAGGCCACGTGGGCTAGATAGAGGAGGAGGAGGCGGAGGAGGAGGAGGAGGAGGCCCAGACATGCTCGCGTCGCAAGCAGACCTGGACGGAGGCGTTCCGCTGCTTTCGGCCTCTGTGGAGGCCCTCGCTGGGCCCCGGGACCGTCAAACAATTCTTTAGGAGGAGGAAGCTGGCCTGGGGGAAAAGGGTCGGGTTAAGTCGGGCCCGTCCCTCTACAGGAGGAACATTCAAGAATTGTCGAAAAATGGTCAGGGGACTATTTTATCGTTTTTTTTGTTTGTTTTGATAATTTTGGAGTCTTTTTTGATAATGTTTTATTTACCGTCGAAAATACCCCTGTAGGGGGACACGCCCGACTTAAGGGTCGGGACCTCGGCGACCGTGCATTGACAACATCAGGACCTCGCACGTCTGGGGGGACAGGAGGAGGGCGCCGTCTGGGCGTCCGAGGTGGCCCAGCAACGGCTCCGGCCAGCGGGAAAGGCGGGCAAGGCTCGAGGTTCTAGGTTCGGGAAGGTGTCTTGTCTTTTTCGGCCTCCGATGGCTTGCTGGCCCTGGGACCATCAAAGCGGATCCAGAGTGACATTGCAGCAGATGGACCCGGGGCTGGTTTCGCCCGGCTGGTTTCGCCGGGCTGGTTTCGCCCGGCGATGGTTTCGCCCGACCTTGGTTTCGCCCGACCCTGGTTTCGCCCAGGCTGCTTTCGCCCGGCTGCTGGAGGAGGTGCAGGAGGAGGTGCAGGAGGAGGTGCAGGAGGAGGTGCAATATGAAAAGGAGGAGGAGGAGGAGGAGGAGGAGGAGAATGACGAGAATGATTGGGGAAGGAGGAGGAGGAGGAGGAGGAGGAGGAGGAGGAGGAGGACGAGGACGAGGACGAGGACGAGGAGGAGGAGGAGGAGGAGGAGGAGGAGGAGGAGGGGGCAGGACGAGGAGGAGGAGGAGGAGGAGGAGGAGGAGGAGGAGGAGGATGAGGTGGAGGTGGAGGTGGAGGTGGAGGTGGTGGAGGAGGTGGCTGAGGGAGGGCAGGACAGTGGGAGGAGGGAAGGGCCGCTGGGCCGGATCCGAAACGACCCGCCCGTTAGGGTCCGCCCGTCCCGATCCGACCCGACCCGACCCGCCCGTTCGGGTTCGCCCGACCCAACCCGACCCGACCTTTAGGGTTCTCGCGTGTTCTTTCGATTATGCACCACACTTTAATGTCCCGCCCGCCCGACTCGACCCGCCCGTTAGGGTCCGCCCGTCCCGACCCGACCCGACCCGCCCGTTAGGGTCCGCCCGACCTGACCCGACCTGACCGTTAGGGTTCTCGCGTGTTCTCTCGATTATGCACCACACTTTAACGTCCCGCTCGCCCGACCCGACCCGCCCGTTAGGGTCCGCCCGCCCGACCCGACCCGACCCGCCCGTTAGGGTCCGCCCGACCCGACACGACCCGACCGTTAGGGCTCTCGCGTGCTCTTTCGATTATGCACCACACTTTAATGCCCCGCCCGCCCGACCCGACCCGGCCGTTAGGGTCCGCCCGACCCGACCCGTCCCGACCCGCCCGTCAGGGTCCGCCCGACCTGACCCGACCCAACTGAATCCGATTTGGTCCTGAATCCGACTTTGGTCCGGAAATGCGGAATTTAGGACCCAAACTCCGGGAATCGCAATTCCCTGGCCGAAGCCGCTCAGACTGGTCAGGAGGAGGAGGAGGAGGAGGAGGAGGAGGAGGAGGAGGAGGAGGAGGAGGAGAGGACGACGACGAGGACGAGGGGGAGGGCGGACGAGGAGAGGACGAGGAGGATGAGGAGGAGCCCGAGGAGGAGGAGGAGGAGGAGGAGGACGACGACGACGGCGACGAGGACGGGGAGGAGGAGGAGGAGGAGGAGGAGGAGGAGGAGGAGGGAGGAGGAGGAGGAGAGGCCAGGAGGAAGAGGCGGGGAGGAGGAGGAGGAGGAGGAGGAGGAGGAGGAGGAGGAGGAGGAGCCAGGAGGAGGAGCCAGGAGGAGGACGAGGAGGAGGACGAGACGAGACGAAGACGAGGACGAGGAGGAGGAGGAGGAGGAGGAGGAGGAGGAGAGGGAGGAGGAGGAGGAGAGGAGGGGGGAGGAGAGGGAGGAGGACGACGGCGACGGCGACGACGACAACGACGGCGGCGGCAGCGGAATCGGCGGCGAAACAGCGGGGCGAAACCAGCGCGGCGAAACCAGCGCCGGCGAAACCAGCGTCGGGCGAATCCAGCGACGGCGAAACAAGCGTCGGGCGAAACCAGCCCTGGCGAAACCAGCCCTGGCGAAACCAGCCCCGGCGAAACCAGCCCGTGCCGTCTGGGGACCTATTTTGAGCGCATCTGGCATCATCCCCGCCTCTTTACTGGTTTTCCAGGGTCCCAACCAGTTCAGACCCCCTGGCCGCCTCCAAAGAGGAGGAGGAGGAGGAGGAGGAGGAGGAGGAGGAGAAAGAGGAGGAGGAGGAGGAGGAGGAGGAGGAGGAGGAGGAGGAGGCGACGGAGGCGGAGGATGATGAGGAGGGTGATCGAGGATAGGCTGAACTTGCTCGACCTGGGCTTCGAGGTGGAGGACGAGGATGATTTAGAGGACTGCGCCTGGCAGTGCGCAGGGAAGGCCATCTCTCCTCTCCTCTCCCACCTCGCCCCGTGCCTGTCGCTCTTGATGCACCTTTTTGCGGCTCTGTCTAGGCTGGAATTCCAACTGCCCTTGCTCATTGGGGAGGCAGCGGCCACGCCGGCGAACTCTGCGGCGTGCTGGCCGACGTCGCATCGGGCCTGTGGGACAAGGAGCTGGGGGGTCATCGAGCGGCCGGGGCGTCTCGGAGGAGGATGGGGGATCAGGGATGATTGGTATGGATCGGAATGGGTACTTACCGAAAGACGTCTTCGTTGACTCCTGGATGTAGTTTTCGTTGGTTCGTAGGGTTTCGATCGCCTCGGGATTCTCTGCAGCAGCTGCGTCTTCGAGAGCTTTCCAGGCGTGCCTTGATCGCCCCGAACGGCCGCCAGAGGCCCAAGTTGTCGCCCGAAAACAACCAGGCGTCGAGCAGCGAGGATCGGTGCGAGCAGAACGGCCGGAACGAATCGGGACGAAGATCGACCGCACACAGGTCTTCTCCATACGGAACAGGGCTCGTTGTGGGTATCGCTCGGAAGTGTGCATTTTTTGCTCGGCGAGGACCATCGCGGAGCATCTCGGACCGCCTTGCGAACAAATACGCGCACGAAACCGAACAATGCACGGGGATTGGAAGTCCGAGCAACGGCGAGACTGGGGCTTGCCAAGAGGGGGGTGCCGAGGATCAGGGGTCGAAGTTTCTGGGCGTCGCTCGCCTTCTCGTGGCCTCGTCGCCGCGGCTGGGTTTCCCATGGAATTCTGGGCCCCGCGAGCCCAAGGATGGATCTAGGAGTCGACTTCTGACCAGCAAATACAAGGTGAGTGGTTCTGCCGGCCGGCTCCTTCTCCTCTTTTTTCTTCCCTTCCCCAGCGTGAGACTCTGTTGCATATTCGTCGGCGCCGAGGCGCCACCGCCCCGCCCCTCGTAGGGCCGCCCCGTGTGACGTGGGGGCGCAGTGTCGGTGTCAGTGTCATACCCTGGCTGGACCCACCCGCGCCGTGAACAAAGTCACGACCAGAAGGCTTCCTTCGGCCTCTGGGAGCCCTTGCCCGGTCGGGACCGTCAAACAACGGTTCCGGATGGACAGAGCTGCAATGCCGAAAGACACGTTGTGAAGACATTCGGCATCGGGGGCGCACGTTGTTGAGACGTTTGGTGCAGGCTGCTGGTTCAGTCTGGTTGGTCCACACCGTCGGAGGTACACGCTGTGAAAACGTCACGACGGCGGGCGTCCGGGGAGGAGGAGAGGGAGAGCTGAGTTTCCAGGAGGTGTTCCGTAAGTCTTAGGTATTCTGGGAGCTGGTTTCGGTCCCCAGGGCCGTCGTAAATCAATGCGGAGTGAAACATTGGCCAGTCTGGGCCCAGGAAGGGGTCCAGGACGGTGCAATGACCGATCGATCTTGAATGGTTTGTGATCGGGAGGAGGAAGCATGAGGCAGTGAGAGGAGCACGGCTTGTATACGTTTCTGTTTGCCTCCGGGGGCCTCCAGGACAGCGCCCCTGGGAGCCGACCCTCAGAAGAGCATCGCCGCCGAACGATCGGGGATGGGGACGGACCGCGAGCGAGGCAAGGAGGAGCTCGGGCAGGGAGCAGCACAGCATGCCGTCAGCGTGAAGAGTTGGAGGTTCTATCCGTGCCGCCCGAAGCGGCCCCCGAGCCCTCGGCCCTCTCAGCCCTCCCTCTGCTGCGCACCGGCAGCCAGCACAGCAGCCGCCCCCGAGAGCTGTGGCCCGGCCAGGCCTCGCCCCCCTCCGAGCACCGTGCCCTCTGGCCGCGGCCCTGCAGCACCCTGCCGCGGAGCAGCGGCCCCGAGCAGCACTCCTCGGCGAGAGAGCCCGAGCTGGCGAACGGGGGCAGACAGGCTCGACGGGGCTGGACCTGAACGGTGTTTTTGGGTGATTTCGTGGGCCGTTTTCGTTTCGACTTAGTTTTTTGCGGTAAGGGCGTATTCGAGACAGAAGCGAAGGGAAACGAAAGCAGAACGAAAACGAAAAACACCGTTTAGGTTCAGCCCTGAGGCTGGACTCGAAGGAGGGAAAACGCTGCAGACAAACTGTTTGCGCTCCGCGCGGATTTCTTGGGGATGCGCGCTGCCCCCCCCCCACCCCGGCGGCGCCTCCGGCGCCGCCCCTGGCGCTCTCCGCGCGCCAGGGAGGGGGGGTCCCGTGCGGATCCAAGAAATCCGCGCGGAGCGCCAAAAGTCTTTGTTTGTGCCGTTATCTCCTCTTCTGTTGAAGCTTGTCCGCCGTGCCCCAAGCACCAGCCCCGACAGGGCCCTCTGCCCGAAGGGACTCCCTTGATGCGGCCCTTCCCAGCTGCGCGCGTCGGGAGCGGCACCTCCGAATTAGAAACTGGCACGCGTGAGGGGATGGTTACAGGGGTGGATAGTGGCACAACGCGCAAGTTCGATGAGGACAGTTTTCGCCCAAGCACAATGTGCGGGATTCACTACCGTCTAAGTCGGGCTCAGCTCGAGCGCTGTGCATCGGGTCGGCGGCGTCCCGCGGCGCAGACGGACGCGCGGCGTTCGGCAACGGGCGAGGAGGAGGAGGAGTGGATGGAGGAGGGGAAGGAGGAGGAGGAGGAGGAGGAGGAGCAGGAGGAGGAGGAGGAGGAGGAGGAGCAGGAGGAGGAGGAGGAGGAGGAGTGGGAGGAGGAGGAAGAAAGGAGGAGAGGGAGGAGGAAGAGGGGGAGGAGGAGGGAGGAGGAGGAGGAGGAGAAGGAGGAAAAGGAGGGGAGAGGAGGAGGAGGAGGAGGACGAGGAGGAGGAGGAGGAGGAGGAAGAGGAGGAGGAGGAGGAGGAGGAGGAGGAGTACACGACGCCCCGTGGCACTCGAGCCCTCTCCCCCTCCATCCCCCAGTCCCGCGGCCCAGCGTTGTCCAGCCGTGAGGGCTCGGAGATGCTGCCCTGTTCGCAGAATTACCTTGTACGGCAACTTCGCGTCGCGTCGACGCCGCGGCGACGGTAGCGTTAAATCGGGTTTGTCCCTCTACAGGGGGGATATTCGAAAATAGTCAAACAAATAGTCAGATGACTATGTTTTGACTATGTTTGACCATTTTTGAATATGTTTTGAGTTTTTTGTTAGCCCAAAACTCCCTTGTGGGGGGACAGGCCCAACCTAACACTAGCGCGGGCGTTTAAGGCTGAAGCCCACAGGCGGCCAGCATTAGGCCATCTTTGATCAGTTGTCAGCTACGTCGTGAGTGACCTCCTCTGTCGGAGGAACGGAGGCGTTGGTGGACCTCGTTCCCCGGATCGCCGAGCGTGCGGGAGTCCAAACGGAGGCGTAACGAACATTGCAGCGGGCAGCTGCTTTGCTCCCTGCTGCCCAGCACCAGCACATACTTTGATGCATGACCCACGGCTGCCCTAGTGTGATACCCAGCTGCTGGCACGGACAGGGAGGCTTCTCGGAGTGTTGGAACCTCCTCACCCCAACCCAACCCGAAGGCCCAAATTTGCCCTCCATTCCCAGTGGTGGGGGTATCGGGGGACATGGAAAAACAGGTGTGAAGCCCGTACCCCTCCTTCCCGAAATTCGGGTCGTCGGGCCGGGTAGGGGTGGTCTGGTAGGTAGCCACCTTCTTATCTTCTGCCTTCGGCGGCCCGCAGATCAGGGGAGTGGGGCGAGGGGGGTTGCACTCTGAGAGGGCGTAGTGTTTCTTGGGTGGCGCACGCCCCTCCGCCCCATCCCAAGTCGTGCACACCGCCAGGTTCTCGTCCTGTTGGCGCGCAGGGGTGGCTTGCTTTCCAAGAGGGCAGCGGAAGGGCTCGGCAGCCTCCCCCCCCGCCACAACACCCCTTTCTTTGTTTGGTACGCGCCTCTCGAGCTTCCCTTCCTGCTGGCTCTCAGACGATTGCCCGACTGGCTGTTTTTCCACACGCGGGCCAGTCTTTGAATTGTCCCCGGGGGGGGCGATACAGTCAAAAGAAGATGGAATACCGTGGAGACCCATGCCAAGAAACACCATGCTTGTCTCCAGGATGCCCTGGGTCTCCTGGGTCTCGATGGTTTTGCGATGGGCAGCGTGACGTTCCCACACCAGAAATCCATAGACGTCCTGGGGTCTCAGGGTTGGGTTTCTTTGGAAGGCTCCATGTGGTCGGGCCCCTATAATGTGACGTCCCTCCCCCGGCTGCCGACACGAGTGGATGATTCCAGGAGTTGGCGAGGACCAGTTAACCAAGTCATAGCCAGCTAGGCAGGCCCAATTCGGGAAACAGGAGGCACCGGGGGCGGGCCATCCGAGGAGCCCAGGGAAGCCGAGGAACCTCCGGGAGACGGGCAACGTGACAATAGCAGGCACCAGGGGCGGGGAACCCGAGGAACCCGAGGGACCGCCGAGCAGCGGACAACGCAACAATGGAAGGCACCAATTTTTCCACAAGTAAGAACCCCTTAGGCACCCGAAGACCCAGTCCCGCGTGGGCCTCGCCCCCGTGATGCGCCAGAGCGCCTGCTCCCCCCTCGCCCGCGCGAGCGCGCGCGCGCGCGCGGCGCGCGCCCGCGGGCCGGCCGGAGGAGACGCCCATCGAGGAGCCGCCCGAGTGCGCCGCGGGGGGGGGAGCCTCGGCCTCAAGTCACGGGAGCCTTGCGTCGAAGAAGGCGAAGAAGAACAGACGCCATAAACAAAGTATTATTGGAGCTCCGCGCGGCATTCTTGGATCCGCGCGGAGCGCCGAAAGTTTATGAGGCATCTCATAGTAGATGCTCAGTGCTGAGCGCTTTCTGGCCATACTGCCCGGGAAACAGAAGCACCACAAGACGGTTGCACTGCATGGTCGAGTCCGGCGGGCGCCTCCGAGGAGGTCGCACAGTACCAGTGTGTCCTTTGTGCGTTCCGTCGACGTCGTGGCGGCTCATCGCTGGCGTCGCCGTCGTCGAGCGGCGCGCACCGCCCCAGGAGTACCTGGAGCTCGTTGGCGCCCGCTTCCTCGAGACGGGCCTCGGCGGCGCACCGCTGTGCCCGGGGAGGGGCGCGGGGGGGTGGGGGGGCGACAGGCCAGCTGCGCGTGAGGATACACCCCTCGCAGGGCGCGCCTTCGGGTCGGCCAGGTCTCGGGCGGGTGGTGATGGTGCATGCCTTGCTGAATGCGAGCGCTGTTACTCTTAATGTGTGTCCTTGACGTCCACTGCTGATGGAAACTGAATGGTGTTCGTATGCCCGTGATGTGTGCATGTGTAGCTATCATGGATGTCGGTTACTGATAGCACGCACGTGTCCTTGATGTGTGCTCCCGATGTTTGTGGACAGCTCGACGTCGTGATGCAGGCAAGATTGTTCTTGGTGCCTCTCATTGCATGTTGTCGAAGAATAGGTCGCTGGCTCCAAAATGGGATTCAAGGGCCCTTTCAGGGCCATTTTCTGTGTCCCCCTCTTACAGTCAGTCCGCACAGTAAGGATGAGCAACTTTCATAGGTTACCCTTGCATCCTTCCCCTTCGGCCCATCCTTGGCCGCTTTCGCTGTCTGTGGCCCGTTCGCAAAGTGCCGACATGGCCTTCCAAGGTCCTTTCATCATCATCATCATCATCATCATCATCATCATCATCATCATCATCATCATCATCATCATTATCATCATCATCATCATCTTCATCATCATCATCATCCTCATCCTCATCCTCATCCTCATCATCATCATCATCATCCTCATCCTCATCCTCATCCTCATCCTCATTCTCATCCTCATCCTCATCCTCATCCTCATCCTCATCCTCATCATTATCATTATCATCATCATCATCATCATCACCATCATCATCATCGTCATCATCATCATCATCATCATCATCACCATCACCATCATCATCATCATCATGCTTCTTCTTATCCCCATCGCGCCCGCTGATTGCAGTCGTCTGCAGCTTCTCGGCCCGAGCTTGCCCCGCTTCGGCCCCCGCCGCCCCTCCCGCGCCCGCGCGACCAGGGGCGCCGGGAGCCTGCGCCGGCCCCCGCTGCTCAGGTGTCCATCGACTTCTACGCGGCGGCGGCTTTCTTCTCGGACCACGCGTGGGCCGCCGCCCAAGGCGGTGGTCCACTCTCCCCCCTCGAGCGCGGTATTGCACGGGGCCCACTTTCCCGTCAGTCCGTTCTCGTGTGGGGCGAGCCCGACTGCGCCGAGCAGCCAGTCGGTGACGGCACGGGGTTGCCTCCCTGTTCGGGTTGGCTCGCGCCACTCCTTCCTGCACGCCGCTTGCCTGCAGGCGGGGCGCTCGCGCGCCCCTCAGGCCACCTGTCCTACAGGCGCCTGTCGCCAACGGCCTCCTGGCCCATGGCGTCCGCGGCTGCACCCCCAGCTTTCCGCGGCACCGACCCGCCGCGCTGGTGCCCCCCGACGGGCCCGCCGCCTCCTCTGCAGCAAAACCTTCCTCCACCTCCCCCTCCTTTCTCCCGCCATTCTTCCCCTTCTTCCTCTGGGGTGGCGGAGTTGGAGACTCATGGGAGGACCGGAGGAAGGAGAGGTGGAGCTTGCACGCCATGTGCTGCGGCACCTGATCAGTCCAATGTCTCACGAGGTGCTCCGGCGCACAGCTCCTACGCCCGCCTCCCGATGGCCCCAGACGGCGCACTGTCTCTGCCTGCCAGTCGTGCCGCCAGCGAAGCCACTGCCGATGAGAGCATCCCTCAGAGCCGCCCGTCAGAGGGCACAGGCGCCAACGGTGCGAAGACAACCGCGCTATGGGTGGAGGAGCCGGAGTTGGTGGACCCTTCTAACCTCCACCTCCTCGCTACTCCTTCTCCTCCGCTCGCCGCCTCGCCCCGGCTCAACCTTGATGCTTGGCGGAGCAGACCTCGTGCGGACACCTGTGGCTTCGAGGTCGCTGAAGGCTTTTCCTGTCCCGCGGGGCGGGGCGCCGGCGGCGCTACGACGATTCCGCCCTATCCTGGCTGGGACGCTCCAGCGCGCGAG